AGATTAAATGAGAACCTTTCCGCTGCGAATATGTGAGCACCATGCAACCGACCAGAACGCCAACTACGAAACCCGCTGTGCTCAGAGGCCCTGTAATTAAATGACGGCACTTCTTGGATCATCCTGCCTAACTGAAACCAATGTCATCAAAACAGGAAAGCATACTCATGGCAACTATAAAATAGTAAAAGTGACCTATGAGAGGAAGGCTAAGAATAATTCGATGATTTAATTTCCACTTTCAAAGTAACTTTCATTCTGGGGTCCTCAAAACGTAATCTGACAAGCAACATATGTCGAGTCAAGGTAATTATCGAATTCCAGAGAATGTATCCCAATTTCCTGGAGCGGATCTGATATACCTTGTGCAGCAAAGACTGGAGATATCGTAAATAGCAAACAAAACATTTACCAAACCATTCGTCCACTTCCAGCTGAGGTCGACCAAACATCAGTGGTAAATATCTGGGCAGGAATACGAGCTGCGCTTTCGGCACAACAATGCTGACTATGTGAACAACAAGTAATTTCGCAAAAAGACCTCGCTTTTTAGCTGGAACGAGGCTCTTCATCAACTTTGATAGCAAACTGCGGCAGCTGCAGTCATCCTGTAGTCAAGATCAATCAAAAGATAGACTTCGCTTTTCAGGCGTGCTGCACCTTGGGATCTATCTAAATTATAAATAGTTCGCCGGTATGATGGAACCATCTGTTTCTTGTATCGAAATAAGTCAAAACCTGAGAACAAATATAGTCCATCGCGATGCGATATATTACTTCGATCAAACTTCTATTTAATGATCATTTTGGACCTTCTACTCGTGCAACATCCCCGAGAAATACGCATAATGTAACCATGTATAGATGTAATATAAACCAATAATGTAACCCCCAACCGCCTTTCAGTCACACTTTGCTAATGAATCACGGGTATCACTTACGTAGTGATACTCATTATATAAACCACAGGAACACAACTGACATGGAACTCATTAAATTCGATTCTTTTGCGCCTGATATATGTTCAAGGTGTCTTAGAGACTGCACACTGGAATTGAACAAAGTGCTCGTCATGAAGAATCCTAGAGGTTAGCATTCATGTTTCATTTTATGAAAATTTAAGTCTTGTTCAACGATATTAACGAACCCTTCGCGTTTTCTCAGTTCGACGGTTCCGCTGGACCGCCTCTGCTGGGACAAGTGATAGCAAAATCATCGAGATGATGAACATAATGATTCCTACTGCAAGGAACACTACATACCACCAACCTATAAACCATTGGATTAAGCGTGATAGACCAATGGGCACTTAAAGCAATCAAAGTCATCGTAATGAGGCAGCGCATGAATGGGTATTCACCTCGTCACCAATCCGCTTCGAAGATACCTGTGATTGGTAATGTCTCTATCCCACATAAATGTTCTATTCCTGTCCCGTTTATAGGACCAAAAAGAACGTGTGAAAGAAGACAAAACAGCTTTCGAGAAAGGAAAGTGCGTAGGAGAGCGGAACAGAGCATTTCAGGAGTCGGAAGGACGAAACAGCACAGATTTTGGCTGCTCCTTCAACGATTCTCCACGAAGCATTATTATTATTATTATTTATTATTATTATTTATTATTATTATTATTT